GAGCTCAAAATGTCATATTTGAGAGGCATTTTAATTGGTAATGGAACATTCGATCTGAATGCCAGTACTGTGGTTGTATACCTGGCGTGCCCTAGTGTGTCGACAACCTGGCGTGGTTGCGCAATCACCCAGATTGATTGTTTTCATGATTATTTTTAATATCCAGTGAAACTGATGTAGAATTACTGTAGGTGCCAATTTGACATTGGCCAAATTTTGTTTATTGTATTTGCTGTTTAGTATTGATATGTCCAATTGGCATATTTCATATTTTAGTTGAAATAGTCGGCACTGTTATTTTATGTATTTCTGAGTGTTTCTTTTGCAGAACTATTTGTTGTGACGTCACGCGACTGGCGGATGAAGACAGTGTGGAGAAGAAGGAGTCAGACAGAAAGAGAGAGAGATGAGGCCAGCTCAAGATAGAAGCGATACAGTTTTTTGACCATACAATTTGACATACAATTTGACATACAATTCTGACATACAATTTGACATACAATTTGACATACAATTTGACATACAACTGACATACAATTTGACATACAATTCTGACATACAATTCTGACATACAATACAGACAAACGAATTAGACAAACTGAAGAGAACTTTTTTGTATACTTTATTTTTTAATAAACAGAAAATACAAGGAAGTCAATGTCGTGTTGTTTGCGTTCAAGACTCGTCGTTACGCTGGCCTCAAAGGTGCACCGGAATAGCACTGACAATTACCATTGACTTTATTTTCTATCTCCACTTGAGAACGCTTATTGGTGCTGTTCTGAGAGTTCTTGTTCTTCCTCTGTGAATCTTTACCCGACAGCCAAGAAAGCCAGAAGCTTTTTGAAATTAGAGATAGTTCTTATAATTTTAGGGGTACCAACCAATACAAAAAATCCAAAACAAGAACAAACATCAAGCAAAGGTGTGTATCAGTAATAGGTGTCAATCTGTGGAATAATTTCGAAACGGGCCTGAAGATGAGTAAATCGCTGGTTGAGTTCAAAAACGAATTCAAAAGATTAGTCCAAAAAAACTACACAAATCAGAGTTAAGAAGATAAATTTTATATACTTATAAAATATAGTAATTCAGCAGAATTACATTGATCAATTTATTTAATATATTTAAGAAATGCAGTATTTATAATGAATATGAGAAAATTGATATATAAAGGAGAAAGAATGAGTCTCTCTCTCTCAGATTGATTGTTTTAATGACTTTTTTTTAATATTAAGTGAAATTGATGTACAATTACCATTGACTTTATTTTCTATCTCCACTTGAGAACGCTTGTTAGTGCTGTTCTGAGAGTTCTTGTTCTTCCTCTGTGAATCATTACCTGACAGCCAAGAATTTACTTATTTGAAATTTTTATAAATTTCTTTTCACCCAATCAAATGACGTTTATGCATTAGTGGAGACGCTTTTATTTTGAAGGTGGCTAACGCAACTCGCTGGCGGCAGATTACCGTAATGCAGAGCACTGGCAATCGCAGTGGCGGCTCACTTGACTTCAATTTTGCGAGTGGAGACTGGCTTGACCGCAGTCCCCCCCCCCCACCGGCCCCAAAGACTTGGCCCCTTCACAATCACATTCCCTTTTTTTAATTACTAAACGCACAGAAAGCTCGATGCGGTACGTCCATCATTCCTTTTTTGGACTATATCATCCGCTCAAGCTTCTCGGCCTAGTTTAGTTTATTTAGCCTAGCTTGCTCGTCGCTAGCAAAGAGACGCGTTTCGTCTCCCAGCAGAGATCGACTGTATGTGTTAAGTGTTGGATTGAATCTCATGTAAATGTGTGCAGGAGGACAGGAGGTTACGCGGATAATTTCTTCGGAGAAAAAGAGGACAACGACGCTGTTTTGGAGATGTTTGGAGTTGGCTCGACTAGAGCAGGTTGGGCCACTTCTGTTTTTTTCGCTCGATTGCAGGAGTCACTAACCGTATAGTGAGATCTACTTTTTGGTCGCTGATCAATGCGATGGGCCACCACTTTTATACACAATTCTGAACCACGTTTGCGCAGATTACGTTTTCATAATGTGTCAATGATGTCTCTTCATACATAAAATATAACTAATATGGCTTCTGGATGGACGCTGTGCTGCCAGCTCTTTAAATCCGACAAATATTTAGAAAATAATTTGTCATCCAACCTCCATGAGAATTTGTTGGAAAGTAAAGCTCCAATGTGCAGGCTTATTTTCTGCTATTTTTGAAGATGCCAACTAGGGTTGCCACCTTTCAGATCTGGAAATAAGGGACACCAACTTAGCAATGACGAAACACTTAACAGCCTGAACTTGAGTATGTTGACCCGGCCTACTGTATTGTATTCATATAAAGTGCTATACATTAAATAAAGCCTGTCTGGGGATACTTTTACTGAAAGAGGACAATCAAATAGCCTATAGTGTGCTGCAAATGTCACAACTGAGGACACCTTGAAGAGGAAGACAAAAAATGAAGCTTGCGTGTGTGTGTGTGTGTGTGTGTGTGTGTGGGTGTGTGTGTGTGTGTGTGTGTGCGCGCGTGCGTGCGTGCGTGTGTGTGTGTGTGTGTGTGTGTGATGCTTTCGTCCACAATTTTAATACACTTCTCCAAAATAAAAGATTATCTTTAGCAGTTTCAACAAAAAATAATTGTCTGATTATTGGTGGTATGACAAAGATTTTTTTCAGGTGGAACCTATGACCAGAGAAATTATGGTTAAAAGAGCAAAAAAAAAAGTGTTGTTTGCATTTATCGATCACCTGGCTAAGATTTCTGAATCATATCCGAAACACCACGAGAAGGTGATTTTTGTTTGTGGTGATTTTTCAATTAATTTGTTGAAATCTAATGATCATATGAAGCAGTGGCGGGCCGTGCATTTCAACCTTAGGCCTTCAGTGATGTCACATACATACACAATATCAGCTCGTCAAGCAGCACTTAATTTCAGGAGCATTTAAAACCATCAAGTATGTATTCCCAATTAAGAGCAGGAAACTACATTTACAGATATTGTCAAAAATAAAAAGATGATTTAAAAAATACGAAATAAAATGCCACTCAAATTACGCTGTGTGATCTTAAACAAGTCTGTCCAATAAATTGCGCAATGTCGCAGTTTCATATAAGACACCAACCAAACAATAACAAAACAAACTGTTCTTTGAAAATAAAGTAAACAGATCATTTGCATTTTGAAAATCAGCGATTCAACAGCAAATAACTGAAAATGTTGAGCAGCTGAGATTGAACGAACTTTCGTGCACGAAGCTGACTACAATGCGCCATTATAAATTGCAGGTGAGCA